AAATGCTAGAACTGACATGATTTCAGCAATGTCACAAGATACAAAATCAATGTACAGAAATTTCTATACAACAACAATAAGCAGTGCAAATGTGCCCAAATCGCGAGTCACAGAGACCTCCAAGGAGCCGGCACCAATGCAAATACAAAAGGGTCTTTATTACAAGCTCAAGCAGGGGCTCACCCACCTACTGGTGTCGTGGCAGCACGGTGAAGCCAAGAACAATAGCGAACAGGGTTTTTAAGGAGTAAGGGATGGGGGTGTTACAGTACACATAGCATCATCACATAAGCACCAATTACAATTGTACAGGACCCCTGGTAACAGCTTTGACCATTCAGTATCTGTGAGGTGTTCATTATTTTTGGTGGGACCCAATCATGACTTTTGAGACTCCTTTGGAAATGACCAATTATGAGGTGAGTTCAAAGGACCCACGTGGGGTTCAGGCAAGTGGTGAGAAATTGGCTAGTTTGTACCTGCGGTTCCCAGCCTTGACTCAGACCATAGGAGTGTTTCTTTTTTCTTTTTGATTAGCTGAACTGAGGGTGGTCCGAGGAGGGCTTTAGCCTTGAACAATCTGAGGTTTTTCCTGGAACTGGGACTGGAGCTATGTGCAGCCCGAGGTTTCTCTTAATGGAGGACTTAATTTTTGGCTCTTCACAAAGAGAAATCCAGAAGTTGATACCATTTAAAACTGCACCTAAAACCATAAGCTATCTAGGAATAAACCTAACCAAAGAGGTGAAAGATCTGTACTCTGAAAACTAAAAAACAGGGAAGAAATTGGAGAAGACATAAAGAAAAGGAAAAACAATCCATGCTCATGGGCTGGAAGAACAAATATTGTTAAAAAATATATATTACCCAAACTGATCTACACATTCAATACAATCCCTATCAAAATAACATCAACATTCTTCACAGAGCTAGAACAAATAATCCTAAATTCTGTATGGAAGCAGAAAAGACCCCAAACAGCCAAAGCAATCCTGAAAAAGAAAACCAAAACTTGAAGAATCACAATCCTGGACTTCAAGATGTGTTACAAAGCTGTAATCATCAAGACAGTATGGTACTGGCACAAAAACAGACACTCAAATCAATGGAACAGAATAGAGAACCCAAATGTGGACATAAATATATGGCCAACATCTTCGACAAATCAGGAAAGAATATTCAATGGAAACAAGCCAGTCTCTTCAGCAAATAGTGCTGGAAAAACTGGACAGCGACATGCAGAAGAATGAAACTGAACCACTTTTTTACACCATACATAAAAATAAATTCAAAATAAATAAAAGATCTAGATGTGAGATAGGAAACCATAGAAATTGTACAAGAAAACAGGCAGCAACCCCTTTGACCTCAGCCACAGCTATTTCTTATTTTTGTGTTTATTTATTTATTAATATAATTTATTGTCAAATTGGCTTACATACAACACCCAGTGCTCATGCCAACAAGTGCCCTCCTCGATGCCCATAACTATTTTCCCTCTCCCCCACGCGCCGCTACACCCTCAGTTGGCCACAGCAATTTCTTACTTGACATGTCTCCAGAGGCAAGGGAAATAAAAACAAAAATGAAATATTGGGAACTCATCAACATAAAAAGGTTCTGTGTTTTACATTTCCAATTTTGCTGCAATTAATAGCTTTTAGAATATATGTTTTTGTAATTTTTCCAGAATCTTTATTCCTTTCCCCTAACAGCTTTATTCAGGTAAATTTAACAGATAAAATAATATATATTTAATGTGATGATTTCAAATATTTGTACATATGGTGAAATGATTTTCATAATCAAGTTAGTTAATATATCCATCACCTCAAATATTTAACGTGTGTGTGTGTGTGTGTGTGTGTGTGTGTGTGTGTGGTGAGAACACTTAGGACCTGCTTTTTAAAGCAAATTTCCAGTATTATTATTGCATAGTATTATTATACAGTATTATTAACTATAGTCAGCACATTCTACATTCACTTTATATCTGAAAGCTTGTATTCTTTAACCAGCATTATGCATTTGCCCCACTTTCCAGCCCTTGCCAACCAACAATTTACTTTCAATTTTTATGACCCAGATTCTTCAAAGCGGGATCACTGGGACAAAGTATACATGTGTGTGCAATTTTCCTAGAGATGGCCTAATTTGCCACCTTATAGGTTATATCACTTTGTGTACCCACCAACACTGTATGACAGCAATGATTTTTCTACAGTTTTACCCACAGAATGTCAAACTTTGAAATTTCCCCCAATCTAATATGGGATAAATGATGTGTTAGTATAGATTCCATTTCAAATTTTCATTTCCCTTATTAGATTAGATATGTTTAAGGACCTTAGGCCTTTTTAAAAAAATTATTTCCACTTAGACTTATCATAATTGTCTCATCTCATATTCCCTAACCTTTCAAGTTCAGGCACAAAATATATTGCTAGCAATCTAGGAGTGCCTAAACCTGCAATATGCAAACCTTTGACCATGTTCCCATCTTAGACACTTGTTCCTCTCCCAGGGTATCCCAGATAAAGTTTTTCCTTAGCAAATATTTCTCTTTTATTTCCCATGACACAGATTCATTTCATTATCTTTTATTTTTTTAATAAAACGATGACGTTAGAAAAGACAGGGAGGGTATCAGTCAACATTAGTTAATAATCTATTAATGATAAAATGTATGTGTTCATAACAGAATATCAGAAGCATAAAAATGGACTGTGTATGCATTTATTTTAAAAATGATTTTTGAGGGGTACCCGGGTGACTCACTTGGTTAAACATCCAACTTTGGGAGTTGGATAAGGTCATGATCTCCCATTTTTGAGAATTTGAGCCCAGGTAAGGCTCTCCACTGATAGCTCAGGGCCTGGAGCTTGCTTCAGATTCTGTGTCTCCCTCTCTCTCTGCCCCTCCCCCACTCGTTATCTTTGTCTCTCTGTTTCTGTCTCTGTTTCTGTCTCTGTCACTCTCTCTCAAAATAAACAAACATTAAAAGTGTAAAAAGTATTTTTGAGGACCTACTGTATGCACAGCCATTTGTTACTAGTATGTCATTAGGAAGATCAGTGCCTGGTATGAAGTAACCATCACACAAAGAGTTATTCTCTCTAATAATGGAAAATTGCAGACTTGTGTCCTTCATTTTCCCAAGAAAGATCATATGAAAGGATTCTTGAGAGCTTATTGCCTTCACTGTCAAATTATAGTCATTAAGTCTGTAGTTTGTTCAAGAGTGAATTATGGAAATGTCTGTGATATTCTGAGGGCAGTGGGTCAAGATTGCTTCAAGGAAGCCTTATGTCAACTTTCCAGGCACCAGTGCCATGCCAACACCAAGAATAATTCAGGAGCTACTTGCCTCACTTTTCCCATTTTCATCCCTGACCTCCTGATGCATGTAGGTTTGCTCAGAGCCCTCAGAGTCCTTAAGAATCTCTTCTTTCTTAAGAAGAAGCTTTGCATCCCTCACCACGGTGTCAAGGAAATAATTTTGCAAATAGAATATCTTCCGAAAGTAAAGACCAGTGGCAATGAGACCTCCACTAATAGAGCAGATTTTTTCCAAACATCTCAACAGTTTGTCCCCTAAAGACTCATCATCCTTTTCAACTGAGAGCAAGTGGGGTGACATAAGGTTTGCCTTGAGTTTCTCCACCGACACGTGCAAGTCCTTGGCCACGGTTTCTAAGGATGCATCATCCAGTCCAAAGTAAGATCTGTAGAGAGTTAGAGTCTCCTTTAAAGTCTCCACATCGTTTTCACTGAGGAAGCCCACCAAAGGGATGGTGGCAGATGCGCCAGCCTTCAGGGCCTCCAACCAGACCTTCTGTTTCAGAGAGTCCCTCTTCCGGTCAATGGCGGCCTCGGTCACATTCGGCAGGAATTGCGTGAAGATGTGGCGCTTGTGGGCTGGGAGCTCCCTCAGAAGGGTGGTCTCTAGGCTTTGGAAATCATAGCTAGACAACTCAAAGCAGGAGACTAAGAAGATCGGAACATCCCGTATATTGACATTCTTCAGATGTGTCACACAGTCATCACGGAGCTTTTGCAGGAGTTCGTCCTTATTGAATGTGGAGGGTTTACTCACTTTTAGATGATATATATCACTGTCCACTTTAGTTCGGACAAAGTAGAAATTCTTCTTCATTTTTTTAATTGCTGTAGCCAACTGCACATCGTTATGTTTGACACGTTTAGCATACACGATAATAAAGAAGTCATACTCACCAAATTTCATTTCCTGCAGATACTTGTGTGCATGAAATTCAGTGGTCCAAATTTCAGGCAGGTCCCATAATGTCACATTGGGAAATTTCTTGTGTTTGTAGGGGGTTCTCACCACGGTTGTCTCCTCTGGCCTAGTTTCGGCAGCCCCTTCTTCCTCTTGCCCCACCCCCAGCAGGGCATTGATGAAACTGGATTTCCCTGAATCAAACTCCCCAGTCACAGCAATGTTCAGTGAAGCACTGTCGATGTCTCTCAATAGTTTATTTATTGTAGAAACTGCACTCTGAAGGTCTCCTTCCTCCAGGTGTGATTGAATCTTCCTGACGGTGTCCTGAGAGACTATTGTGCTTTCCAACTTGAAATTCTTTAAAAATTTGTCAAAGCTGAGAGCCAAACGACCACCATCTGTATCAGATGTTGTGGAAGTGGACTGACCCATGGCTGAGCACTAGAGGGCACTAGGGGGAGGAGAGAAGAGGAAAGAAAAAGAATTAGCACAAAGGTAGGCTTGCTGTTATGGGCAGGCAGAACCTAAGTCCTGGCCACAACATTGCATCCAGGAGCCCTTCTCTATCCAGGCATTATGTGGAATTCTACATGGATGAAAAGTTTGCCCTTCCTCGTGTTCTTTTTCACTTATCTTGGAAAGCTCTATTTGCTCTTATAATTTCAAAAACTGATTATTCTATCCTTTCTCCTGTGCCCACGCTATTCTTTATTTTTAAGGTTTTGAAAATAATACACCTTCATGGGGGCAAATCTAATAAGACAGCATGAGCTTTCACCCCCATACCCATACTACCTGTGGTGAAAGACCCACTAGAAAAAACACTTCTGATAACCTCCAACATTACCATGTAATAGACGTTGGTTTTCATATAAGGAAGTTAAATAAGGATGAGAGTCTCCTTCCTTCTCAGAAAAGATACTGCATATCATCATTAGGAGACAGAAACCTTCAATATTTGCAAGTGTGTTTTCCTTTATCTAGAAAGTATGCTGACTCATGAAAGGAGGTGTTGAAAAGACTCTTTTGGTTTTGTCTAGAGCAGAAACAGCAGGTGGCGTGGATTCCAGTGTTGTAAAAAACCATGTTTGACTATCCACCTGGGACTTGCTATGAGCCACCCTAATTGTCTGTGAGACTCCACTCATTACCTGCTTCGTGCCTGTGTATAAAATGGGACAGAAATCAGGTGGGGGAGGTAATGCACCTGGGGAACTGGCTGCTGTATAAAGTGTCGTTGGTGCAAAAGGTGGTGTGGGCAAAGACCGAGGCAGGAGCCGAATGGGATGTAAGAAGTCAGCTATGACAAGGAGGACCCTCTGTCACCTTCTCTGATGTCATTAAACTGAGCTGGTTCTGGAGTCCTGGACCTCTCTGATCACTAGAGACTTATACTTTGAAATGGGGCACCAGAAGAAATCATGTACCCAGGACTAAAGGTAATGTGAGAGATTTGTATACTTCCCCTTGTGGAGATTGAGAGCAGAGATTGAGACCAGGAAGCAAGTCAGCTCATCACCACTGATTGTCTGGGCAACATGCAGGCTGGAGAGGTATCCTTTGGCTAAAAGTGAGAGATCAGGCCCATTCTTTGGGGCTTCCTGGTAGCCACAGGCTGCAGCCCAGGAGAGGATGGCAAAAAGATATTTGGGGATGAAATTATGCAGAGCAAGTACACATTGTTTTGACTGGTATACATACGAACGAGGAGTGCAAATATCCTTCTTAGAAGAAAGAACTATGGGACTCTAGCTCACCAAGAATGAAAGGCAGCTGTTAAGCAACTAAGAAACATGGTGTAGGCACTTCTGACCACCCAGCAGGAATATTCATCACATACATTGTGAAACCGTGACCATCTGGAATGTATAGGGACAACCTCGTGCTGTGTGGAGGGCAAACCATCCCACCACTCCTTTGGATGCAGGCAGCACACAAAGCAGAATGAGCAAGCCTGAATGTGGAAGAGGTATATACAACCTGGACCTCAAGGAAGAGCAAACAAAGTGAGACTTCAACCTCATCAGGTGTAGTCTAATGCCTGTGCATTCTCAGAGGATGCGGGAAGAATTCGCAGGAGACTGAGGAAATCTCTGATGAGACAAGACCTGTGGAACAGAATAAATAAAGAGAAAGGGAACCAAAAGACAGGGTTGAGAGACCAAGCAGATAGGAACTGCAAAATGTTGTGTCCTCAGCTAACTTCAACCACTAAAGCCATGTGCTATTGTTAAGCTTCCATACCTCACCTTATGTTGCATGTGAAGTTCTCTTATATGTTATTTTCTGCTGCAACAGCAATGCAGAGGTAGCAGGGTCAGAGTGCCTTTTTATGATATCTCTAGGAGCACCTCTACCAGTGTGTCCTCTGCAGCGGGAGTAGAAATGGGAGGGAATGTGAGAAATCCATGGCAATAAGCCTCAGATGTGCATTTATACGTACATTTCTCATCTCATCCTCTTAACAACCCTACAAGGACATTACGATAATTTCCGTCTTCAAATTAAGAATCAAATAAATGATGAGGTGGTGAGACAGACATTGAGGGCCCCACCACTAACAAAGCTCAGAGCTGGGATTCAAGTGAAGCCCCTCATCCAAGACAGATTCCTTCTGTCTCAGGAAGCAGAGACAGAGCCCACAATTGGGCGGGGAGAGGTGAAACAAGCACTCAAAACGAAGTCAATATGAGACACACAGGATTTGTATATCTATGGAGAAATGTATTATAGAGAAAGCCACAGGGCCATAGGAAAGCCACTTAAGATAAAGCCCCATGTCAGTATACCTGAGAGCAATTTCAACCCCCAGGGATGTAATCCATCACCAGTCACCATGGAAATTTCCTGGTCAGCACTAAAAACTGGACTGACGGATCCCCTCTCTCCTCTTAGCCAGGCAACCTTGCCTAAAACAGTGGATTCTTTGCTAATAATTGTTTTTCTGCTTTCTCTCTTCACTTAAAAAAATCTTTCCAGTTTCTCAGCTCAATGGAGCTCCTTTTTGTTTGCTAGATGGAATGCTCCGCAATTCAAAAATTACATAATAAAGCTAACTAGGTTTTAGAATTCACGCGGTTGAATTTTTTTAAACAGATTTGGTGGCAGTGTCTAGATCCAAAGCGAACTCTGACTGTATTTGGGGACAACAAGAAACACAAGTGTGGCATCCCATGAATACTTTTGAGTCATTGTCTTTCTCAGCATTTCCAAGGCACATTGCTAAGTCCATCTTGGTTTAAGGTCTGCTCTTTTTGGCATTAGAGCTCCAAATTGAATTGCCTTTCCAGCCCAAGGTTAATGAATCACTCTGTCTCTGACAGAGCACCAGTCCTTAGCCGGTGGTTCAGCCCACAAGTCCACATAGGAATCCCTTCTCCACTTCCAGTCCAGTCTCCATTTTCTGCGGTTTGCTGGCTTAGTCTGTTCCCCATTTCCTGTCTGCAGTCTCCATGAATGGAATCTGCTGGCTTAGTCCATGATGCAAATTGATGGTGACGTGTAGAGAGCATTCTCTTGAACAGTTCACAGTAACTTCTAAACCTAGCCCTTGGTTCTGAACTCAGATTTCAAGTTGAGAACTGTGGGTGGCAGCCACACTTCTCCACGTGTGTGGAATCACTCAGTAGTCCCCATTCTTGGAGGCCTGCTCGTTGAATCCTTGCCCCCAACCAGTCCCTAGTTCTTTGGCTATGGCTGATGTCCATAGTTCCACTACCTCAGTACTGGTGGTTTCTGTTAATGTGTACACGAGATAAAGGAAAATGTACATGACCTTCAGGAAAAATAGTAAATAATCGAATGAATAAACAAACAAAGAAAAATTAAATGGGATCTTTAAAATCCAAAGAGTTAAGTTTTCTACCCTCTGACATGTTGTTTATCTTATATCTCAGAACTATGGTTCTGTCTTTCCTTCTTGGTGGGAATGCAAACTGGTGCAGCCACTCTGGAAAGCGGTTTGAAGTTTCTGCAAGGAGTTAAAAATAGAACTACCTAAGATCTAGCAATTGCACTACTAGGTATTTACCAAAAAGATGCAAAAATACTGATCTGAAGGGACACATGCAATCTGATATTTACAGCAGCATTATCAACAATCTCCTTATTATGGAAAGGGCCCAAATGTCCATCAACTGATGAATGGATAAAGAAGATGTTTATAGGGGCGCCTGGTGGCTCAGTCGGCTGAGCGTCTGACTTTGGCTCAGGTCATGATTTCATGGTTTGTGGGTGTGAGCCCCGCGCTGGGCTTTGTGCTGACAACTCAGAGCCTGGAGCCTGCTTCAGAATCTCTATCTCCCTCTCTCTCTGCTCTTCCCCTGCTCATGCTCTGTCTCTCTCCTTCAAAAATAAATAAATGTTTAAAAAATTAAAAACAATAAAGAGATGTGGTATATACATATGTGTGTGTATATATATATACACATATATAACAATGTATATGTGTGTGTATATATGTGTACATATATACATACACACACACGTATAGATACACACTATATATATATATATATATACAATGACAAATTACTTAGCTATAAAAAATAATGAAATCTTTCTATTTGCATCCAATGGATGGAGGTAGAGAGTATTATGCTAAGCAAAATAAATCAGGGAGTGAAAGATTAATACCTTCTGATTTCATTCATATGTGAAACTTGAGAAACAAAACAAGTGATCATGGGGAGAAATGAAAACACAAACCAAGAAACAAACTCTTGAGTATATAGGAAACTAAAGGTGACCAAGGGTTGGGAAGGTGACGGATGAAACAGGTGATGGGGATTCAGAAGTGCACTTGTGATGAGCACCAGGTGTTGTATGTAAGTGTTGAATCACTAAATTGTCCACCTGCAACTAATATTAGACTGTATTTTAACTATCTGGAATTTAAACAAAAACAAACAAAGAAACAAACAGAACTATGTTCTGGAAGCCATAAAAATCTACAAGCATGCTTTGTGTCCCAAATAATGGCTTGGTAACTGTCACGTTGGCAGCCACAAAATAAGGCCAGACAAAAATGTGTGAGTTGCCCCCTATCCAAAGCTTAGGTATAGCTGGACAGAAATGTGGGTTAAATTCCATTTATTGCTAGTGTCTGCCAAACTGCTACCAGCCCTCAGGGAAATTACAATAGCCATTTTGAGAACGTCCAAGAAAATAAAATCATTTAAAGAAGTGCACTTAAAAAGCAAAGGCTTCAAAATTCCAAAAATAGCTTCATTGAAACAGTCATTGCAAAAAGCTGGTAAAAAAAGAAATGTAAACAACCACAACAGTACCGAATACAAAAGACTGTAAGACTGATAGGATTCTTACTGTTTTCCATGATCCTCCTCTATTTGATACTCATTCTAAGTCATCCTCTGTCTGATGTGCTTTGACAGAAACCATACACAAAAGTCATTTTTAGATGCAATTCAACGTTCACCTATTCCTTTGCCAACCCCAAAACTCCCCCTGTTTATGTCAAAGGGTTTGTGAGTTTTTGGTCTTAGGAGAAACTTGCATTCTTTCTCAGCCCCCTAAAGTTATACATCTTATCATGTCTTTGAAATAGAAACACACCATAATCACTGGAAAGTAAGTATGGAAAAAGGAAAAGAGGCCTTTTATACTACATCCAAAAAAATGGATGTTGTTGCTCAAGCTCTGGCACAACTCCCTTAGGATTAATTCCAGGGATAAACACAAATCTTGAAAATCTTCTATACAAATATTGGTAACTATAAAGTTATTTTCTCTCTCTCTGAGTGTGTGTATGTGTGTGTGTGTCTCCGTGTGTGTGTGTGTGTGTGTGTGTGTGTGTGTGTGTGTAGTGATATTTTTCTACCCCTGGAAGGTTTTGTTGTAAAAGATCTCTATTTAGTTGCTTTGAAGTCAAGCACTTATAAGTACTGAGCATTCTAAAACTCTCAGAAAGATAGAAACTAAGCTAAATGCTCTTCAAGTACATGTGATCTGGAATAATATTCAGTATTAAAGATAAGTCAAGGCTGATGGTTTACTTAAAATAAACATGTAGTTCGAGTTACGAGCATTAAAATTAATTTAATTTTTAATT